GGCTCTGTCCATGTTAAAATATATTTTAAAAATTATAAAAACTAAACATCCCACAGTATTTTTACAGTCTTTAATTTACAGTTAAAATAAATGTTTATCAAATAATAATGTTACAACTAACCCTGGATCCCTTTAAAATTTGGTTAATTAGAAAACCCAAACAATAAAACACCAAAACCAAATAAAACAGACACCAAATAACATGAGTGAAGATCAAGAAGCCAAATCAACACAGTTACACACGCCGACTTTAAAAACAACCACTAAAAGCCATCAGTTAGTGTTAAAATGATTTTCTATTTGTTAATCTCACCCTGAGCAAAGGAGATTACCTTTACCTGTCTATGTCCCTGCTCTGGAGTGGGCATCACCTCCCCACAGCTACTCTGCCTATTCTCCTCCCTGCCCTGATTAATAACAGGTCTAAATGCTGATGAAGTTTCTGCATCACTCTGGTTCATTGGTTCTGGACTCTCAACAACACCAAACACCTGTCAGGAACAAAACATTGCAGGTATTTAAGTGAATGAAGTGGAATGTCAGTGGAAGCTGTGAACAGTAAATCTATAAGCTATAGATTTTACTCAACATGCTGTGATTTTTAGTCTCATTTTTAGCAAGTGAATGAAATAAATTAGACGGAGAGTCTTGCCTGGTCAATCTTGCTTCTCGCCTCTTCCACCTCTTTATCTTGAACATCTCCTTCAATGGTGTACGTCCCCGTATCACTCAGGTTGTCCTCCTCCTCTTTTCTGGGGCTTCTGAATTCATCATTCTGAGTGGGCATGGCAGGGGACTTCAGAGGAACAGGCTGGTTGACTGGGGAGGAAGTCTTCTGTCGGTGATGTCCATCAGGAGGAGGAGGGCTTGTGGAGGTCTGATCAGACTGAAAGATCACATCTGCCCTCCTTTGAGTTACTTTAGGGGAASTGAAAGCACTTTTCTCCAAGCTGGAAGAAGATTTCTCCCATCTGAGACGTTCAGCGGCAAAGTCTTTTGCCAGCTTGGATTTCCGACCGACACTGCTAAAGGGTCTTACAGATGCAGACGATGAAGAAGAGCGGGAGGAGAAGCCGGTGCTGATTCGGTCTTCTGTTTTTTCCCTTCTTAGAGAGCCAGCTCTTTGAAACCCTGTGGAATCCGAGTCCTTTAGAGGAATAGTGTATCGTTGGGTTGGTGGGGTGGCGGAGGAAGATGTAGTTGGACTGGAGGTCTTGTTTGCTTTCTCCTGCTGGTGTCGAAGCCCTGCAGGCTCAGGCGAGGCGGTGGGATTGGTGAAAGACTGGGAGTGCCTCTTTCTTGAATTATCTTCAAAAAACTCAATGACAAAGGTTTGTTGCAGCTCAGACTTGCCGTGACTGGAAAGGGATTGTGATGGAGAGTTAGACGAAAGCTCCTGCAATTCTGARGATGTTCTTGAAGTCTTTGGCGAAACATGAACCAAATTCTGAGGTTCTGATTGGAGGACGTCGTTTCTGTTGACGGCAGGTTGACCTGAATCACTGTAAGAACTGTTCTCACTGCGGTTTGCTGATGACAGAAGAACAATAATATAATATTACACCATTTCAACTTAAAGCAATACAGTATATCAAAATTTTATTGTCAACGCAATAACAGCATATCACAAATAACTGTAAACTGAAATAAATGCTCAATGTTTACATTTATGCGTTTTGTCAGTCACACAGAAGATTGAAGTATTTGGCAAAATATGTGAAGGGCTTCATGTGATTGGTCAATCGGATGGATCTCTTTAGATTAGATGCCTGCCCACTACATAGACGTGGGTGGATAGCAAACAAGCTTGGAGAGAGTCGCAATGACAAGCAAGACAACTGTTAGTGACAAAGAACAAAACAGCACGTCTCTTATTTGGAGATATTTTTGTTCCAAAAGACTATGTTCTACAAACACAGATACTCTGTAAGACATGCTGAAAGCGAGTGGCAACCACAAGAGGAAACACGACTAATCTCCACTGTCGCATTCAAAGCAACCATAAAAACCTGTACAAAGACTTCCAAAAAGCTAGCGTTAGCAAAACCAGAGCTGCAAACGTTAGGACAAATCAAAGCACAGCAGTCCAGCAGACAGATGTCGTGTATCAGAGTTTTGCAAGTGGAGATCCTTATGAGAAAACATTGAAGGGGTACAAAAAAATAAAGGAGGCCATTGCACATTATTTAGCTGAGGACATGATGCCCATGAATACAGTGAGCTGAGAGGGCTTCATCGATAGACCTGAGATACCCTCAGAATTTTTTTTATTTATTAAAAAAAATAAAGAGAGTACGGGGAGTTTTTCAATATTTAGAGCATCAGAAAATGTTTTATGAGGAGATGTTTTAGTCATAAAGAAACAGCAGCTGTGTCTAGTTGCATTTTTTATTATAAAACTATCATGTTGGAATGGAAATTATATATTAGTTATTGTTTATTGCTATGAACCCAGATCAGAATGACATCAACACTACATAGTTAAGTATTTGTTCATTTATCACACGTCATACTGTCATCACAATATTACACAGTTATCACACATCACAGATTTTACTGATATCATGCAGCCCTAGTTCTTAAACATAAAAAAGCTTTATTTAAAAAACTTACCATTTGTTATTTTCTGATCTGATGAGTGGCTGTTTGTGTTGTGCAGGTTTTCACCCTGGGACCTCCTCCTCATCATCATACTTGCATTGCTTTGTACCAGCCAATCAGCTACCTTACTCTCTGACGACATCACCTCCGTAGGTGCGGTGGCAGCCTCTGAGGATGGCTGTTTGTGCGACTGGCGGTAAGCGAACTTGGTCACGTGGTCTTTGATCTTCATTTTACCTGGGGTGCATTCATCAAATTCAATRGTGAAGGAGGCGTGGCTTTGAACCACGGGCTGTGTGGGGGTTTGGGGGATGCTCTGAGTGGTATCCTTTGTTGGAACCTCGTGAACCTGAGACTCCGGTTTCTTGGCGGGTCGCTGCTGGAACTCCTTTGTTGGGATCTCAAAGTAGCTGGGCTCTCTTCTGAAGGAGAACATAGACTTGACCTGGCTGTCTGACTGAGAGCGATTGACCTCATATCTAGATGCATCTTTAGGAGACTCTGAAAACACAGTAAATACAGAGATATAAAGATTATGGTCTTACAAAGTCCACTCACTGCACTAATGTAGAAAAACAAGCCTTGAAGGGGACATAATGAAAGTTGAATTTAGTCTCCCCTGGTGCTGTGTAGATATCTTTTATATTTTGTTTAGGTCATAATTTTTAACCTGTTTTCTATTATATTTTTTGAACTATTACATCCCTTTTTTTTGCTGCGAAACTGCTCAACAAAGTCATGGAATTTTTGTCTAACAAATTTTGTGGATCTGTGGTTCTGCAGGTTCGTCGTCTTCATTCTCCTCCTGCTGAGTCAGACTCTGGCTCCAACATGTAAGGCTGGATGGACAAGTCTTCCCTTGCTGACCTACTTTTAATTAATTTGTAAAAAAAATGTTTCTGTGCCATGAGACCTGGAGGGGGGCAGGATGTGAAGTGCCTCATTTGCATTTAAAGGGGCTATATCATGTAAAAATCAACTTTTTTGAGTTTTATATCATGTTATACTGTTATTCTCTCATCAAAAACATGCCCAGAGTCTTGCTTTGACTCATTCATGCATGTTTGAGAAATCCTGTAGTGTCCTGAGGCAGCCAGGCAGGGGAGCAAAAACGACCGGTTGGGACTAGAACCACCTTTTGGGACCAGCTCCTCCTCTGGGCTGTGTCTCCAAGCTGAGCTTCCTCATCAGAGAGCACACCCACCCACCTGCCCAGTGCTGAAATGGATGAGACAGAAGCGGAAGGAGGTTCTTAAAGAGACAGTGGCCAATTTCAAGGTGTTTAGAAACAGATATGATCAGAAGTCAGGTTTATTTTCTATTTAAACATATAAACATTTTAAGAACTGAAGGTGACATAATTATTTTATTATGGTATAGAAGTTAAATATATGCCCGAGAAACACATAATATTGCCTCTTTTAAGAGACAGCACCAAAATGAGCTGTTCTCAAACACATCTCAGAACAGAGGTGGGTGAAAGAGGGGCTTGTGGAGTTAAGCTTGTTTTATATTTTGAGTCGCACGTCTTGATCCCCCTGCAGAGTGACAAAAAAAATCTGACGTCTATTTCCTCACAGAGTATAAACGGGCTGAAGTTGCGGCGGGCCATAAATTAACATAAATCCTCCCTCTGCCCTCACACAGCTCATATAAGTAGGAAAACAACAACAACAAAAATGATGACTGGATATTATGTTTTTTTTTCCCACTCAACCATCAGCGTTATGTTAGGTGAAAAGTCCACTATGGAAATACCTTTTTTTTTGTGGTGGTGATGGGAAAAAAAGGAGGAGCGAAAATCAGCTGCATGCTCACGTTCAACACGATCAAACCAGCTGCTTTTCTTTTAATAACAGGCTTCAAACAAAAATAAAATCCTTTTAAACAAAATAACCAGGAAGGAAGATCTGCTCTGAGTCCAGTCCTGGAGCGGTCCAGCTCTTCAGCGCTGCAGCAACACGGAGGAGCTGGACCGCTGCTTGCTCTTCAATAACAAACACATCCACGAAATTCTAACCAATCACACGCTCCGAGCAGCAACGTCCACATCGCAGAGTTCTGACTAGGGGCAATGTACACGGCGGCTGTCACCGGGGGAATAGCAGCAGGAGAACAGACGGAAGCTGCGCAATTTTTCGTCGCTCAGCAGGGGGAACAAGATGTTTAAGTGTAAACTACCAGCTATTACAATAAGAAGGAATTAAGACCAAAGCATTGCAGTTCCACTTTATATAGACCMCAAGTGATTGATGTGAAAAAGAAGGATTTAAAGGCACGATATGTCTCCTTTGATAGGAGCCAGGTGACTCAAACATACATGTGCTGTGTTAGTGTTAAACATTACACCAGAAATAACATGAAGGATCCAGCTGTTCAGCTGAGAAAACAAACCAACCCGTTGCTCTTCAGTTGCCGGTTYGATGTGGCCAAATTTCAATTTAGAAGCTCAGCTCACAGCAGGGGAGCTAAGCGGTAATAATCTGTTTCAGTCTGGGTAATGCAAAGGGAACAATGACCCTTCCTCCCCCCTTCAGAAGCTTAAAGGGTCATAATCCATCACGAGGCAGACAGGCACTGCCCAGTGGCCTGGCAAACACTTCACAACTGGCAGCCAGAGACCTGCCCAAAGCTTAAAACCATCCATCTCCCAGTGACCACCAGGTAACAGGGTCATAAAAAACCTGTCWTTACAAATTAGGATCTAATTCACAGACTTGGGAACACTCATACACTTGAACTAGAGAAGATGTTGTTTTTAAGATAAATCTAAACACAAATAAGTTCAGGGGTTGACGTATTCTCTGACCTGGCGTCTCCTGTTCTGGCATTTTTCCTCCGCTGTTTTGGTTTGTGTTGGCCTGGTCCTCATCCTCCCCCCACCAGGATGGTTGGCCATACAAAGGAGTAGGCCTGGATATGGGAGYATCTGTGGAAGCTAGCAGAGAATACCAAAAACAAACACAAAGTATATTCAAACAGAGCGATTTATTTTCCAATCTATTTTAATAACATTATTAAAAGATGTTTTTATGGTTTACACATAAAAAGCTATTTTTTTCTGTTTTTGTGATACATAAACTAACGAATGTATCATACTGAAGATACGTACTATACGTTTTTATTATGATACACAGAAAAGTTTAATAAATAATCCTCCTCATGAGACAATTTAGTTAATCCTAATCTTCATAACAAAAAACAATGCAATATGTAAGATAAACTATAACTAGAATCTTCTTGTAGACATTGACACTATTTATTCTTTTAAATGCTGCAGCCACGAGAGTGAAGAYTTATCCTACTTTGGTGTTTAGTCAGACTGTACATGCTGGTACACACATGCTAGAAAGCCTATCATGGACTAATCAGATAATCCAAGAGCTACTTTTTGCCCTGATAGATGAGACAAACAAGCTCTTTAGAGTTTAAAGTGGCTACACAAAGTCTGAGCATCAGCAGCAATTTACCACTGTTGCCTTGGACACACAAAATAAGACATAAACACAGTGGCAGGAGACGAGGAGACGCATGGTAACAATTCTTTTCCACTTACTCAATCCTCTGCTTTTAGCTAAAGAAAACATGAGTGAGCATAATAATGTGTCCAGTGCTGAGTTATGAATATTAAAACAACCAAATGAATGAATATACAAAAATAAGGCAAAAATGGTTTAAACATTATAGAAACATTATTATAATACAAAAATAAAAACTAAATTCAAGATAATATATCTTTGTGTGAGTTGATTCCATGAGAAATTACATAAAAAAAACCCACGCATTAAGCATCAGGAAATTTAAATTGCGACAGTGCAAATGTGCCACATCTGGTCAAAGCTGAGTGATAAATTTTATGATCCTTCTCTAAACACTGAGGAACTCCTGGCCTGACCAACTCAAACACATTACAGCCGAAGTGTCYGACACGCAGACAGCTGGAGGACTGGATTCCCTCCACATCCTGTACATCTGTGAGAGAAAAGAGGCGCAAACCCCCAAAATATGCAGTTGCTCTTTTAACGTTTTTAAGAAAGCAACTGCATAAAGTGTGTGGAATTAAACAGAAGATTAAAAAAAATGGGACAAGCTGTTTACAACTCCAATTCCAATGAAGTTGAGATGTTGTGTAAAACATAAACAAAATCAAMTGAAGACACTACATAGACAAGAAATWTAATGTTCAAATTGATAAATTTTATTACGAATGCATCGATATGAATATTTCAGCCGATATCAATATCCRATATAATTATTGCTGTTATGGCCGATAACCGATATTTACCTATATTACACAAAYACAAATTATATTATACATATACRCACAAACACACTTGGATCKTTTTTTGATACTGTAAGTAAACAACCAGACCTCTGACATGGCTCTACTTCAGTTATTCCTGGCTGTGCAGCATCAACATCACTRTCATGATCAAACAGATGCCGCTCAACCAAACATCTCCCCTCCCAAAACAGAAACACAAAGCTAAAATGTGGGAAATCAATATCGGACGTTAATATCGGCCCAGTTTTACACATCAGACCGATACGATATTCAAAAAAAATGACCAATATCAACCGATACCGATATCAATGCCGATATATCGTGCATCCCTTAATTTTATTAATGTTTTGCAAATATAGGTCCAGATTATCTGAATCTTTTGATATTATGGACTGGAGATGATGAAATCACTAAATTCCTTGCAGTTGACAAACGCTTTTAAACTGTTGGGCTGTCACAAAGTGACAAASCTCACTCCATCCTTGCTCGTGAATGACTGAGCCTTTCGAGGAGGCTCCCTWTAYACCCAATCATGACACCCACCTGTTTCCAATTCACCTGTGGAATGCTTCAAACAGCTGTTTTTAAGCAAATCTCAACTTTCCCAGTCTTGTCACTCCTGTCCCAGCTTTTTCAAAACATGTTGCAGGCATCAAATTCAAAACGACTGAATATTTACAAAAAAAAACTAAAGCTTTTATGAAGCTTGACTATTAAATATCTTGTCTTTGTAGCATATTAAACTGAATATAAGTTAAAAAATGATTTGCAAATCATCATAATCTGTTTTTATTTATGTTTAATTCAGCATCCCAAATTAATTGAAATTGGGATTGTAATTCAATTAAAAAATAATTAATCCCAAAGGGAAATTAAATGTTGTTGTAACTCATTATCCTCATATTAAACACATCAAATCCACTGTAAGGGAAGAAAATCAAGATATCTGGTCAAAAAACTGCATTTTCATAAAGTCAGTAGTGATTTTAAAGGAAAAAGGCTCAGAGAAAAACAGTGTTGTTGACATATGCACCTTTCCACAACACCTAACCCACGACACACTGTGTGGGTTGCTGCTGTAACTCTAGCTTTATTTTCTCAGGCACACAGTGAAATACCACCCTTATCTTGTTGTGTCACGACGCTTAGCTAGACTCTGAAGGTTAGTTTAGATATCGCCATTGTGAACTAGCTCCAAAACAGTGCAGTGTGTGGCTGCTTTGACTGCAACTGCACAAAAGATCAGCAAACATGGCTTTGGTGAAGCTGTTCAAAGAGTTTTGCAACGACTGGTGTTTCAGGTCACCATGCTGGCTACAGGCTCACAAATTCTGCTGAGGTTCAGTGAATGCATGCAGAGGAACATGGGGGCTACGGCTGGAAATGTCCTATTTTAAGCACTGCTCGTAGTTTTCCCACTAAACTCAAAGGGACCAATTATGGAGCCGAAAGCGCCCAGCTGCTRAAATCAACAGCAGCTGCAGTAGTTTGGTCAGTGTGAATGAGTCTCATTCACAAAGTGCTTCTGCTGCAATGACAGTTTCCCGACTGTTACACTGTTGCCTGCGACGTAAAGCACGACTTCCTCTGTATATTTAGAAGCAAAGAGTAGAGGAGACTGAAAATATGAGTGCAAAACCCCACCTTTTGTCAGCAGTCACTCTGTCTGACAGAGATAAGGCTGCTTGTCCTCAACTCTTCACCCTTTTAGCCCTTACTCATGAACACTCATCCTGCCAACCGTGGATGTCAAGATCAATTTCTTTACCGACACAGGATTGTCACTTGAGCCTCTCTATTCACAGGCCGTCCTAATCCCACACCAGGGAAGGTCTCTATCCGGAGGATCTGTAGCTAAAGTGGAAACTCTCCGACTTCCTCTTGTGTGTGAACAGGATATTCAAATCTGCTTTAGTTAGAACTGTTCCCATCAAGCAGAAAGACTATGAAACCCACTGCTGTCCTTCTGTCGTTTGTGGACGGGGTCTTTACCTGCCAGTGACTGAGCCCTTCGCTCAGCCTTGTCCTGCTGTTTAGCACTAGAAATGGCATCTTTGCCCTTCTCCAGGGTCTGGAAATGCTGTTTTTCCTTCAACTTGGCCTCCAAGGATTTTACACTGAGCTGCAACTGGCTGGTGTACTTCTCATGCTGCAAAGAGAGACAGGAGGGAAGCAGGATGTGAAAAACCTCCCACCAACAATCAGCACTGATGGAACCGTTTTCATACAAATGAAGCAGCTTCTTTTTTTTTTTTTTTTTACTGAAGAATAATGTTTAACGGATGACGGAGCAGTTCAAACAAAAATTAATATGTTTAATGTTTAAAATATTTAGTTTTTTCCCCTCAAAAGAACACAGCTAATTAACTACTGTCAACACACAATTACATTTCCTGCAAAAACAGAAAGGTTTGCACGTTGTTTAGTCTATTACAACAAAGCCAATTAACCAGCAGCTGTTTTTATAAAAAAACATTTCAAAGCTTTTTGTTGTTCCTTTAATTACTTCTTGTAAATGCACAGCCAACTGTACTTAAAAATATACATTTTTAGACACTGATAAAAAAAAATTGCAGTGGAAATGTAAAATGTTATAAAAATATGATTGCGAAATAATTTTTAATGAAGTAACACCGTGATGTTTCAAAATAAAAACTAATCATTTAAGCAGGGATGAATGTTCTGCCAGACGATTCAAAAGAAAGAAACAGGGACAGGATGTGAGAAGAACTTACTTTCAGAGCTTCCTCTGGGACTTTGTGTTGACTCTTCTCAAGGATATAAACATGTGCATGTACACAAGGAGTTAAAGCCCTCAAATCTCTAATTGTGAAACACAACTTACAATTTAGTAAAACAGTTCAAGTTCAGGAACAGCTWTAATACAGAAAACCTGTTGCTTATGTATGTTTATTTTGAGTGTTTACGCTGATTTTAAAGTTTCACAGCTTCAGAACCAAATAATAAAAACTAAAGTATGTTTTTCCCCCGGTGCAGATCAAACAAATACTTCTAAACATGTTTTTTTTCATCCTGTTATCTAAACTGCATTTCACCATTCATGGTTTTTTTCTACTCCGAGGGTCAAAGGGTGCTGGAGCAGCTTTTGTGTTTAACAGTCGGTCATAATCTGCAACTCCTGACTGAAAAATAATAATAATAATAATAATAATCACACAGGATTAGGATCAGGACTGAGAAGAGGAAAATGTAACAAAAATGCACGTGCTGCTAATCCTCAACTAAAACTGCCATAAACTGTGTGCAACTAAAACATGATACAGCCACAAAAAAGCCAGCAAGGGAAAAAGTCTTATGAGAGATTTAAAAAAAAAAAAAAAGGATATCATAACCAAAGCGAACGACATCCGACAGCTTTAGGGTGATGTACGTCTGGTCCGGGATCCTGAGGTCATTCACAAATGTCTGCAAAACAGAATTAATATGATAAAATAAGATTTGTGCCAACCCTGATACTACAGGTGCTTAACTGGCCCCTTTCCCCACCGAAGGTYAATCCACAAGTACATTAAAGCACTACTGGGATTATCAGAATTTGATTTATCGACAAAGTATTTTTAAGGAATCAGACGTGTTGTTGAGGTGCAGAACATTCAGCGTGAACAAGGAATAAAAAAAACAAAGTGTAAAGGCTTTTAAATAAGAAAATATAAAATATGACGTGCACGTTAAGATAAAATAAGTGTTAAACTCTTGACTCAACTGGARCTACAGATTAGAAGTGGAAAAAAAAAACAAAGTAAACATTCTTTCAGAAGGAGAATGTTTTGTGCAAATGAACATAATTGCAGTCCGTGCATGATGTAATGATAGTTGCATCATGGGTGGAAATAAATAAAGTCACAGTGCTTGTGCCTTTTTATCTCCAACTGGTGGGAGTAGTTTCAGTGTCATCGTTTATCAAATTCTGAGAAAAACGCTGAACAAAGAGCAGATCTTGTCTGCAGAGATTCACTGAATCTGTGGATGGATTTCAGTTGCATGTCTGCACCGTTCTGCTCCGATTAGTGCGGTTACCAGAGCCAAAAGACACGTTCAGTGAGAACAATGAGCAGCTTCTCCCCCCTGCTCAACTTTGGATGTTTTAGTAGGATAATGGTGCAGCGAAGTGGCAGCATGGCTGTAAAAGGAGAAGGCCACAGACCGACATACAAAGACTGGAAACAAAAGAAAAAGGGTCCTGGTAACCAGGAAACCCCAGTCTGAGGATTGTCCCAGTTCCTTTAACATGTCTCTGGCAAACAGAGACACGCTTTCTGCTGCAGGAATTATTGACATGAGCCTTTTTTTTCCTCTCATCCAAACTGAAGCAGGTAGCTGATAAAAACAAACCAACTCACCCCGTTCAAGCTGCCCAGGTCCTTCACCATGTGCTCATCAGTGTTTGCATCATAGTTGATCACAGCATGCTGTTTGTCCACACTGCGAGACTGCGAAACCAAAGCAAAGCAGCTGAATATATTTGCTATAGATCATTTTTAGGACACTATTTATTAATTACAAGTTTGTTTAAAATTCTTCAGAGAAAGCGTAGAATTTCAACAAAAGCAGAAATGAAAGTAGAACCACATATCGTATATCGAAAATGAGAAAGCCAATTGTTCTTTTATTGTGTTGTGACATAGTTACAAAGAATGTGGATTTTAGAAGAAATCTCGTATCACAAGGAAAAAAAGGATGAAAGTTAAAACTATTTCATCATTTAAAAATACACCGAGTGAGCTCAGAAACACAACACATAACTTTTTATGTAGCGTCAACATTTTGAGTTCCACACTCTCTCCATCTTCATTTAATTTTTTTTGCTAATTATTGTTATTTATGTTTTAAAAAGGAACCTCGTAATACTTATAATTTCTTGGATTCAATGGTTTGAATTTGAAGCTCAAGCTCACAGAGATCATACAGGCAGTTGTTTGCAAATGAATAATTGTTTTTTTTAAATTCATAAAACTGCTCTAAAACGGTCAAGTTTTTGAGTGCATACCTGCCACTTACCAGGGCAAAGACATGCCTCTTAATTTATATGAATCCACTGATACAGACTGACAGCCCCTTTGCTGCTCATTAGCCCCCCGGGCCTCTGTCACATAAATCACAAACACTGACTGAACGACAAAATCCATTAGCTAAATAAACCCTGTTCTCCAGCAGAACATTTATAGGCTTGTCATAAACCACTGGACATTCCTCTGGGATTAAAAGTGTTGGGATACTTTGTATTTTTGCCCACATGTGCAAACTTTTCAATTACCTCCTTGATTAGTTTAACTATGGAACAAAAAGATATTTGGGTTTGATGACCTTAGCTTTACTTTGATCCCGTTATCTGAAAGACTTAAACACAAAGTAGACACAAAATGCTTTGGGTCCAGTCGGTGCTGATGAAGATTCAGATCAGACATCAGTTGTCATGGAAAGTCCAAACATCTAAGACAAAGGCCCTGAATCGTCCTGTTTAAAGTAACTCTGCTTTYCACGCTCAACAGGATTCTCATGTTTCTGTAAAACGTACTGAAGTAGTCACAAAAAACAGAACAGATTTCAAACTATTTGCTCCAGAAACTGAACATGTTTCAAATGAGTTTCAGTGGTAAAACATGCACCRGTTTAGAGTGGAAGGAGCTGAGGTTTCTCTTAAATGCAACAACGCCTTAATGTGGATGGGAACAACGTCTCACTATAAGCACCATCTGTGGTTAGAAGGGCATATCTGGACCTAACACACAAAATAACAGCATAAACAACAGCCTCAGAGGCAGCATTCCTCTTTAACTGGTCTAAATACAGCGAGGACAAAATGAGATGGAAATTATTATGTAAAGACCACAAAGACATTGTGTTTACAGCAGGCAGCACAAGAAAAGCAACAYGGCAGCATGCTGTAAATGAATTCTAGGGGACTTTTTTTTTTATTATTATTTCACCTTTATTTAACCAGGCAAATCCCACTGAGATCACAGATCTGATTTGCAAGGGAGGCCTGGGCCTGAAGGCAGCCTAACATGAATGTTTCTGGACTGTGGGAGGCAAACGGAGAGCCCAGAGAAGACCCACACAAGCACAAGAAAAACACAGAAAGACCAAAAGGTCCAAATCGGGGATTAAACCCAGGACCTTCTTGCTGTGAGGCAACAGTGCTAACCACTGAGCCGTCATGCGTGATCACTTAAAAGACTGTCAGAGTCAGCTGTGTGAGAGGAGGCGGTCTCCAGGTTACACACTCTAACCAGCTCTGTTAGGACATGACCAGAGAAGAGGGACACGTCAGGGACATGTTTCACAGCTGAGGGCCCAAACGTCAAGGCAGCCACACACCTGAAGCATCAGCTCGCAATCATCCCGGCCCACGAAGATCATCTCCCGTGGCAGCCTGTGGCGTGTGCCCGAGCTGCTGACCAGGAACCATGATGTCACGCTCATGTCGGGGCCACGTGTCAGGATCCTCTTAGCATCCTGGAGAAACAGACAAATGGAAAATGTTCAGAATAGATTTTATGGTCAATTAAAATCCAGTTTTTAAAACTTTAGCTTAAATGTTAGCGACAGGAAGTTGTCCTCTCTCCCAGGTTTTGTTTCTGGCCAAACCATCTCGTTTGGTT